TGTGCTTGAGTAAGGTCTCTGGATAGTTCAGATTCCCAGTTTAACCTACCAGGTGGCGCTGGAGTTGTGTTATTGTTAAACATCTTAGTTATGATCCGATCTAGTTTATATTCGAGATTCGGTAAGGGCAATACTATTGCATAAAACAGCCGCCGGGTATTTTTGGGGTCGAGTGCCGTGAATGTCCGATTACAGCGACGTGCTGTACCACCGATTATGCCGAGCCCCGTTCCCACGACAGTCGGGTCTACATAACCGGAACGACCCAGATTTATATCTGGCCAAGGACTGTCACTCCAGCAACACCCCAAAAACCCTTTGGGGAACCTGTATGCTGCTACAACAACAACAGCCCCCGAGTGTTCCGATTGGCCCAATAAGTAAATGGGAAAAAGTTCTTCAAATTTATTTCGTATAGCGATTAACCGTGCTGTGAAACGCCAGATCATTGGAGAATTTCAAGACCTTGAACTGGAGAATTTCAACTTTCGCGAACATACACTTTCGTTAGGTTAGGATTAAAAACGACAATGGAAATATACCTTCTGACAACCACCAAACCGTAATTTTAGCAGATAAATGTATCACTGGAAATCGTGAACGTGATCTGTTGGTAAAAATGTTGGACCAAAATATTTCAGAAAAAATTAGGTTTGGGCGGGAGTTTTTTATAAAAATATTTCTCATGCTTTATAGTAGGGGAGCCCACGATGTTAAATCTGGATTTACTCGACCTATTGGATTTTGAAGATTATATGAGGGGAAGAAAAAAGTTCATGTGATGTTTTCCCTTCCAGCGGTGGGTGGATGATCTACAGGGTTCCAAAAATGTAAAAAAAAAACAGTTACGTGGATTTACTCGAGATACCTATTGATAGTGAATAAATCAAACGTGTTTCTGAATACGGAGATATGCTAATCGGCCGATTTGCATGGTGAAGATGGGCGTACAGAAGGGCGAAAAATGACAAAAAAAAGGGCCCGAGTGAACGTCCCATTCAATAATCTGACGATCCAGATGTGACGCAAACTCGTGGAGTCTTCTTGAAGATGCAAAAAGATCGCCATTTGGGATTACTCGAGCGCGTCAGATTTTCATACAGAAGGTTCATCTCAATACCCTGGTTCCATAATCTGACGATTATCCGGAGGAGTTTTCTTAATCGGAGCGTTTAAAAAAATTGACAATTGCTAAATTTTGAAAAATTCGAAGCGGCGTTACCCAATCGTAAGTGTTTGGTGTGGGAGATTTTATATGCTAAATTTGGGATTATAAATAAAATAGTTTTATTAACATTTACCTTTTAAAAATAAGTGATTAAATTCGATAACAACTTGCCAAATCATTATTTTTTTAATATAATTTTAGTGAACATATTTAAAAAAAATTTTTGTGTCCCCATGTCATCTGATTATTACACAATGTAGCTAGCCAGGACTATTACAGTTTTCTATATGGGATACTGTGATTCTGATATATGTAATTCAGACACTGAAATTTATTATTGTCTTTGTCCATTTAACAGCAATGCAGCCAAAATGATTCCAGAATATATGTATGTATAATTAAAAAGCTGTGCAAGTTTTTTACAAAGTTTGAAATTTTTACTTACATGGCTTTTTTCAGATATATTTTTAGCTCATATCAAAAGTTATAATTTTCAAGTTAAGATGATTTTGAAGAACGTGTGCGATTTGTGCCTCAATGCTCATCTCATTTATAAATAAATGCAAGTAAATGTGCAATTTATACTGCATATTACTCGAAAACCACCCAAAGCTCACAAAAGAGGTGTAGTGACATTCCAAAGTCGATACGATTTAGATCATATACATATGTGCATATGTATTTTATCTTAATAATAAAGTGAAACATCGGTTCCACATACAAGGCATACGCAAAATGTCGAACTTAGGGTTTGTAAAAGTATTTTGTTTTTTGTTCTTCATCTGCATCGATGCCAACGAAGAAAATAGAGTAAAGGAGGTCTTTGAGCAGCATGAAGTTGTTCCAGATGTTATACG